GTGTTCAGAATGGTTTGATCCCTATTCAGCTGAATTCCTGAGACCAGACGAAATCCAGGTCTCCTACTCCTCCGCCATCTTGCTCCGCCTCTCCGGAGCAGGTGCATTTTAAAACAGGATTGCATTCACTTGGGCCTCACTGAGAAGGTGACATTGGAGCAAAATCCGGGGACGGGGCAAACTCTGGATTTGTGGGATGGTGCAGAGGCTGTTCATCAACAGTACGAGGCAGTCCTCCAGGGTTTTCTGTCCTGTGACACCTTTGCCCAGGCAGAGCCAGGGAGTGTGCCCTGGTAGAGGATGCAGCACGGTGGCCTGGGGTGACCAGGCAGGCTGCCCCCCAACCCCCACCTCCGGGGTTGAAGCCGGATGTGCAGGATGAGTGTGATTCGGGGAGAGGGCCCTTCTGGTTCAGGCCCAGCCCTGGCCCAGACCGCCACCCCGGGAGGAGTCACAGGCTAGTTCCAGGCTTGCCCCAGAGCCCTGACTCCTCTCCTCCTGCAGGTGGGCGCTACATTGAGGTATTCAGGGAAAAAAACATCCCTACGGCCAAGGGGCCCCTGAAGAGTAGTGCCAAGCCCTGGCAAGGCCGGACCCTCGGGGAGAATGAAGAGGAGGAGGACGTGGCCGACTCCGGGAGGCTCTTCATACGAAACCTGCCCTACACCAGCACCGAGGAGGACCTGGAGCAGCTCTTCTCCAAGTTTGGTAGGGGCACCGCCTCCCACTGCCTCATAGCATGTGGTGCGCGAGCAGACGGCCTGGGTTTGAGCACGGCCCACCTCCTGTCAGCTCCTGACCATGGGCAAATGGCTTCCCGCTCTTGTCTCTGTTCTGTCATCCATAGATGGGGCTGATGACCCCTGAGCTGCTGCGAGCGCTCACACGACATGGACATAGGGGTTAGCAGGGCTCCCAGCAAAAGGTCGTGTCACAGGCGTCGTGTGCTGTCTGAACCCATTGTCTCCTTGCTCTCACTGTCTGAACTCAGAACCGTCAAGATTTGGAAACATTCTGCTGAGCTAGCCCTTGCTGTCCGAACTCTTGCTGCTGAGAGTGTGAAGTCCAGTCACTGGGGGCAGGAGCGCGACAGGGCTCCTCAGTCTGAGCTCCACTGTCTGAGGCCTTGCTCTCCAAACCGAGCATCCCAAGTTGATGTGATAGGGTCACGTTTGTCATGGTCACTGCTTCTGCTGCTATTTCTCAGGCGAGAACAGGAAGGCCTGAGGTTCGACTTGGCATGCAGGGCTGTGTGTTTGTAAGGGCGTGGCTGTTGAAGGGAAGGAAGTTAGGGTTTGAGATGGAGGGCAAGGTCTGGATGCTTTGGGATCCCTCACTGCTGTTTGGAGGCCAGCTGCAGGTCGTGCGGGCAGGGAGGCCCTGGGTGGGACTCTGCCAGCAGGCGCCTTTGTGTGACCTCCCAGCCCGCGGCCACTGGTTTGCACAGCAGGGCCGGGCTGCCCAGGCTGGGGGATGAGTCGTGGCCTCCAAGTTTCCATGGGGGAAGACAAAGACCGAGGGGGGGCGTGGGCACCCCCTGGTGTTGAGAGCAGAAGCCGCTTCAGAAGGGCTGTACTTAGACCCAGCACACCCCTCCGGGGGCACTAACTTTGGAGCAGGCGTGGTTCAGTACACTACGCGCGTATTGACGCATTTATGGGCTGGCTGACAGCCGCCCTGTGAGCTTGGCATTCTTAGGATGCCACTTTACAGATGAGAGACTGAGACACGTGGAGGCTAGTGGTTTGCCCCCGGCCACACACGTGGTAGGTGTTGGAGGCAGGATCCAGGCCGGGCTCCTGTACTTCTAGGGTAGACACATAAACGATTGTGAAAGGCCACTCTTGACCTCTGAGGTCGTCTCACGGCAACCACGGCTGTGACCCACCCAGAAGAGCTGGGTGCCCAGCACTCAGGCCCATCCCCAGCCCCCAGGATGCTGACACCTGTCCTTCCTCAGGTCCTCTGTCTGAGCTTCATTACCCGATCGACAGCCTGACCAAGAAACCCAAGGGCTTTGCCTTCATCACCTTCATGTTCCCTGAGCACGCCGTGAGGGCCTACGCAGAAGTGGACGGGCAGGTGTTCCAGGTGACCGCTCTGGGCTGGCGGGTGGCGGCTGGGCTCAGGTGATGGGGAAAGGATGTGTGGGCCCACACGCATGAGCACCCACATTTCTTAAGAAAACGCAGATGGTGTGCAAAACCTCTGCCTCGCAGGAGCCTGTAGAGGGGAGCTCCCCCGGGGCAGGGCCCTTCAGCACCTAGGACAGCACTGGGCACACCCTGGAGGCTCGAAAACTGTTTGTCAAATGAACACATATGCTCTGTGTCCCCAGAAATACTGTTTGGGAGAGAAATAAAGAAGGAGAGTTTGTACTGGTCATGTTAAATGGGCACAATAGGATGTAAGAAACTCTTCTTTTTTTCCAGTGTTACCGAGCAGTGTGCTTTGTCTGCCTGCTCAAGCCCAGGCCACCTCGAGCTCCCTTTCTCCTTTTTCTTCCCACTCATTTGTTCATTCATGATTTGTTGATCTCCAGGGACCCCCCAGCCAGACCAGCTCCCACCCGCGTTGAGCCCTCGCTTCAGTGTGCGGGGACAGGACGGGGCCTGGGCTTGAGGGGGTGGGGGCTGCTGCAGGGGTTTTATAAAATGCTCAGTTTCTGTCGTGAGGCTGTGTCAAAAGTCCCCCACCAGTGTAGGAACCCTGATTCGTGTGGCCAGGCCCCCATTCTGTTCTGAGGGTGGCCATGTCTCCTGACTAGGGTTATCAGCACTGGGTCCAGCCTACCAATGGAGGGGCTAATGTCCTGGGGCAGGATGTGGACCCACCTATCCCCTTCCTCTCTCTACCCTCTTCTCGTCATCCCCTTCCAGGGCAGAATGCTCCACGTGTTACCATCCACCATCAAGAAGGAAGCCAGCGAGGATGCGGACACCCCAGGATCATCGTCTTATAAGAAGAAGAAAGAATCTAAAGACAAAGCCAACAGCTCCAGGTCCTTACCCGCTACCAGCCTCTAGGCCCTGCTCCTCCAGCCTCCTATATGCTCTGGCTCCTTGGGATGGGTTCAGCCTCTCATCCGTGACCTCCCTGAGCCCCACTTTCGTCATCTGCTTAATGGGGGAATTACAGTGGTGCCTTACTTTCTTGGTGTTAGGAGAATTAAATGAACTGATATAAGCAAAGTGCTTAGTCCCTGGCACAAAGTAAGTGCATGTCAAATGTCGGGGATCATATCGTCATTGCTCACATCTCCAAGCCCTGGGTGCTTGGCCCACGCCAGGTAAGTTGGCAGGAGGAGGAGCTTTTGGGGGCTTAGAAGGGCAGGTGGTGAGCTTACTTCTTAGAGTTTTTGCATCTGAGAAGATACTCCGCTCGTTCAGCCTTGGTCTGACTTCTCTGTTCTGCCTCTGCCTCTCAGCTCTCACAACTGGAACACGCTGTTCATGGGCCCAAACGCCGTGGCGGACGCCATTGCACAAAAGTACAGCGCCACCAAGAGTCAAGTGTTTGACCACGTGAGTGGGCGTCCCGTCTGACATGCCCGGCTCTGGGCCGATCGCAGTGGGAGAAAGAGCAGGGGAGGGGCCATTGTTCTGGGGTCATCTACAAGCCCTGGCCTCAGGCTGAAGTTGTAGGCATCCTTGGGGCCTTCTCTGGAAGTATCCTCTCCACGCTCCAGGCCTGCTTCTCCTGGGCTTGTGTGGAGCCAAGCCAGAGAGACTCAGCTGTGCGGTGCTCCTCACCACAGCCCGATGAGCTAGGTGCTCCTGTTGTCCCACTTTCCAGATGAAGAAACCGAGGCCTAGGGACACAAAGCAACCTTCCCAGGGTGACACACCTGGAAAAGGCAGAGATGGGATGACAGGTCTGTCTGACTCTGGTGCCCGTGCTCTGAACCCCATCACACACCTCTCCAAGGGTTGTCACACGCATTCCCTCGGCTGGGGTGGCCCCAGTCTTTGAGACGAGGAAAGGGGAGTCATCGGTCCCTGCCCCTCTTCCCATAGAAGTCAAACTGGATTCCTGCTGACTTTTCCCATCCATCTCTCCAGCCCCCTCAGATCACACACCTTCCGTGAAATGCACATGTCTCTACTTAAACCATGGCTGAGTCCATCTCTGGCAAGACGTTGGGAGTATGTTTTCCAGCTAGTCAGAAAGGATATCCATGGTTTTGCCCCATAAACCGTAGACCCATTGTCATTTCCTCCTGCCCAACACTCAAAGTCAGCACTGCCCATTAGAACTAGAATGTGTGCCCCATGTGTAGTGGCAGACATCAGAGTGGCCATGTTTCTTAAAAAGCAAAAAGAAACAGGCAAGATTCGTTTTCAAAATCTGTTTTATTTAATTCAGTATAGCCAAAGCATGACCAAGATACCATTTTAACGTAATACACGGTATGAAAGATGACAAGATAACTTTGCCTTTTGTTTTCTCACTAAGTATTCGAAATCCAGTGCGTGTTCTATACTCCTAGCACTCCTAGCCACGTTTCAAGTGTTCAGTGGCCAGATGTGGCTCATGGCTACCATGTCGGGCAGCTCAGCTCCAGGCCTTAGCCTGTTAGGAAGCATGCAGTCAGTTCAGATCCCACAGGCACTCAACACAGAAAGTCTTGCTCTTCTAGAACCTTCCAGAGAAGGAAGATGCACATAAACAGGTGCAGCGTACGTGTTATAGCTAGGAAGGTTAAGCTGAGTAGGGGAGAGGGTGTGAGAGTGAGGGTCACCAGTCAGCAGGGTGACATCTAAGCAGAAGTTGGACAGAAGGAGGCATCATGGGGTAAGCACCATGCAGGCGGAGGTCAGCAAGTGCAGAGGCCCAAGGTGGGGACGAGGTTGGCCAGCTCGGCTGGAATGGAAGGTGGGGAGTGAAGCTGGAGAGGTAGGCATGGGGTTCTGGATTTACTGTGTGAGACATGGAAGCCCGAATCACGAAATTACTGTGGGTCCGTGAGGGGCACTGGCGGCCCTGTCCAGCTGTCTCCTCAGGCTGTTGGGAGATGGAACGACTGACTGTCACCAGCCCACCAGCCGACAGGGCCTCTTCCCTTCCGCCTCCCACAGGAGACCAAGGGCAGCGTGGCTGTGCGCGTGGCCCTGGGGGAGACCCAGCTCGTCCAGGAAGTGCGGCGCTTCCTCCTCGACAACGGGGTCAGTCTGGACTCCTTCAGCCAGGTGGGTACCGGCTCAGCGAGCCACCAGTGGCTGGAGAGCAGAGGGTGGGGTTTCAGATCCGGGACGTGCTGGCGGGTTTGAGGATCCGGCCTTTCAAGGATGATGATTATTAATCTCTTAAGTTGTCTCTAAAGAAGAAAATATCACCTGGGCTCAGACAAGGGGCCCATCTGACTCTGATGGTATCTCTTGGGGGCTGTGTGCTTGCCCACACAGATGAGAGGGGCCCCACCCCGTACCTTAGTAGGAGCACCCGTTGTCTAACTGGGAGTATAGACCTTCCTTGGGCCAGGTAGGATAGAGGCCAGGACTCCTACATGCTCATTCTCCACCAGGTAGGAGTTTAGACCACCTCCCATCCTCCCCTCCCTTTCACAGGCTAGGAAACTGAGGCCCAGAGAAGGGTTGGGGTGGTGACTTAGAGGTCAAACACTGAGCCTGTGGCAGGAGCCTGGACTAAATCTCGACTTCTGACTCCCAAATAGCCCTCTTGGCTGTTCAGGCCAACCTCCAGGGCGAGTGGAATGGAAAGGGCGGGTGGATGCGTGAAGTACAGATGCTGACAGCTAACACTTAACCGGGACTCACCAAAGTGTTCCCCTAAATTTGTGTTTTATTGTTCATTTCCCTCACGTGACAACCCCGGAAAGCAGCCCTGCTGTGTTCGCATCGTGGTTCATAGAGCCTAAGTCACATGCTCCGGGTCAAACAGCTGGTCGTGGATCGGAATGCCCCAGAGCCCACGCCCCTAACTGTTGTCCTCTGTGGCCTCAGTGGCACCTGAAGCCCACTGGGGGCCAGCCCTTCCCACCTGCAGATGCCTTCCACCTCACCCACCTCACTCAGTCCTCACAGCAACAGTGAGGCCTAGAGGATGGGTGTTACTGCCCGTTTTGCTGGCGAGAAAACTGAGGCCAGAGGGAAAGCAACTGACCCAAGGTTTCAGGTTAGATTCGTAGCCAAGCTGAGACTCCTGCTCAGATACCCCATATGCCTGGAGTGTGACCATTATATCTTGGCTCTTTGGTGCCCCCGCTACCTGGTTTTTCAATAAACTAATCGCTGACATTTACAGAGTACACATACTGTGTGCACTTGGCTCGTGTTAACGCACGTAATTAAATCCTTCCCTGAGGTGCTCCTGTGAAATAGGCACCGTGTCCTGGCGTTAGGTGAGGGGCTGAGGCCGAGTTAAGTACATCTCTCAGGGCCATGCATCTGCTGTCTTGTTGGATACTCCGGAAGGCCCAGCGAGGGCTGTGGGCGGACACTGGCAGGATCTGCTGTGGCTCAGAAGTGGAGGGGCTGACATGTGACCCGGGCTCTAGAGCTGGGGCCCTCACCTCTGCCCACTCGGAGGAGCCGCCTCTCTCCCTAGAGCGCCACGCCCGAGGCGGGGGTCTCAGGGGCCCGCTCCCCAAGCGCCTGGTACTTGAGGTCCCGAAGGGCTGCCTGGTGCAGAGACAGCTGCAGATCGGAGTTGGGGTCGGGCCGGGGATCCTCCCTCCCGTTGCCCCACGTGTGTTGATTCCCTCCCTGCAGGCGGCGGCCGAGCGAAGCAAGACCGTGATCCTGGTTAAGAACCTCCCGGCGGGCACCCTGGCGGCCGAGCTGCAGGAGACCTTCGGCCGCTTCGGCACCCTGGGCCGCGTGCTATTGCCTGAGGGCGGCGTCACCGCCATCGTGGAGTTCGTGGAGGCCCTGGAGGCCCGCAAGGCCTTCAGACATCTGGCCTACTCCAAGGTAGGGCTGCCAGGGCCTGCTCAGCAGAGGGCCGAGGGGGCCAACGGACCGGCAGGCAGCCTTAGCGCAGACCTGGCCAGTGCGGCACTGTCTGCAAACCAGCCTCCTCCGACATGATCTACGACCCCACCCCTGAGAGCACCTCCTCGGGATGGGAGCATGTGAGAGAGTCGCTCTAGAGATCCCCCAGAGAGCACGCCCTGGCTCTGCGCCACACTCTGGCTTTCCTTGGCTCTCCACTCCTATGTGAATCAGAGCCGCCATTCTGGGCGCTTATGGTATCTTGTTTCCAGTAAGTTGAAAGTCACTTCTGTAAGAGGGCGGTCTCCTGTTTCTCGATAAAGAGAGAAAGAAGTCACGTGTGTATACACGGCTAGAGTAGTACGTTAGTTTCTTGTGATGGCCACAGGGGCTTAAAACAGCAGAGCTGTATTGTCTCACAGCTCTGGAGTCCCGAAGTCTGAAATCCAGCTGTCACAGGGCCCTGGCCACTCTCCAGGCTCTCAGAGACCGTTCCCTGCCTCTGCCAGCTTCTGGTGGCACCACGTGTCCCTTGACTCGTGGCCACGTCTGTCCGGTCTCTGCCTCTGTCTTCACGTGGCCTTCTTCCTCCATCCCCAGATCTAACTCTGCCTTTCTCATGTGCAGACACTTGTCATGGGATTTAGGGCCCACGCAGATAACCCAGATGCTCTCATCTCAAGATCCTTCACTTGATGATAGTTGCAAAGATCTTTTTTCCAAATAAGTCCCATCCACAGGTTTCCGGGGTTTTGGGATGTGGACATATCTTTATGGGGGGGAGCACCGTTCACCCACGGTGAGTAGCTTCTCTTTATCAGGCACTTTAGCCCTCTGCAGACTATTTATCAGTGTCAGGTTTATCCTTGTTGTAAAAAGAAAGAATCTGCATGCGCATGCATTGCCTGGGGTGGGGGGGGAGCAGAATGTGTGTTTCTGACGGCCCTGCCACACTTCTCCCACAGAGCTGCATTTCATCACTGATCCCGCTTCCCCGTCCTGCCCCCATCACTGATCCCGCTTCCCCGTCCTGCCCCCCTCACTGATCCCGCTTCCCCGTCCTGCCCCCTGCATTCCCTCATCACAGAAAACCCAAGAAGACACCAATGTGTCCAGTGACAACAGATGTTCAGGCCTGTCGCCTGAGCCCCAAGCTGCAGCAAGGGGAGGTGGGAGACTGTGGTGTTCTCAGGGATCAGGCAGCACAGAAGGTTCCAGGCTGTGCTTCTCTTTTTGGCTCCATTTCCCCGGGTGAGTTGCCCATACTCTCTGAGCCTCAGGCTCTTCATCTGCAGAAGGAACTGAGCCCCTGCCCTGCCCTGTCTCTGCAGTTTCACCACGCCCCCCTGTACCTGGAGTGGGCTCCAGTGGGCGTCTTCTCCAGCTCAGCCCCGCAGACGAAGGAACCCCGAGATCCCCCAGCAGGACCTGCAGAAGAGGACAGGGCGGAAGAAGAAACCTGTAAGAGCTGAGATCAGGGTGTCCCGGGGCAGGGGGCGAGTGGAGGACGGAGGGTGGGAAGGCTGGGCGCAATTCTGAAGTCTGAAAGATACTTGGTTTCAAGTTATTTGTCCTGGAGACCGGCGGATCTCAGGTTCTCGGATTTTATAGGCATGTAAGATGTCCTTAAGATCAGAGCATAGAAATTTAAGGTGCAACATAAGGTAGCCAGCTTTTCCGTTTGCCAATTAAAGGTTGAAAAAGACCCCTGGAATCTACCACTAAGGATTTAGAACCGAGCAGGTGAGAACCTTCTTGTTTTATACACCTGCCAGCATGCCTGACCAATGAGGGCCTGCAGTGAGAAGTCTCTCCTCTGTCCTTGCAGCGGCGTAGCACAAGGGCAGGGTGGGGATGCTGGGGCAAGGTCGGGGGTGGCTCACCCCCTGCTAATGCTTCACACTTGGGGGCGGAAGGGGCACCATTGGTGCGGGGGGAGCACCGTCCCCTCCCCTTGCCAGGATGGTCGTGCAAATAGCAAGGCATTTTGCACCCCCACCCTCTCTGCCCACTGAATGTCCAGAGTGTTCAGTGCTCCTGACAACCTGAAACACTGTCCGTGTTCCCTCGGTGTTCCCCAGATGTCCCCTAGGGGGCGAGAAGCGCTCAGGGTGGGGACCACGACACATCCTAGAATTGAAGACTTTCAGAAAAGTTTTGAAAAGGACTGGCGGTCCTGTTATCCAGATGTTAGGACCTTGCTCATCAGCAGTATCCCCCGCTTTCCTACTCACCTCCCCCCATAGGGTTACCCAGTGTATTAAAATAAGAATTGAGAAAATAAATCTCCCATCTACCATCTCCGTCGTTCCCAGGAAGGGTGACTCAGAGCAAAAATGGGGCGAGCAGAATTCTCAGATTAAAGAACAGGCCTTTAATTGAATAGACCTCACTGTCCATAAACCTCCTAGGGCTGCCTGCATTTGCCACGGTGTCGTGAGTCCGTAAAACCTTCGGGACCAGCCCAGTCGGCACCAGGCACTCGGGAGCCCCTGGTCTGGTATCTTTGTTCCAGTCAGGAAGGGCAGTTCTTTGCGCTCTGCATCTCGAGGCTCCAGGAGCCTCCATCGTCCTCAGACTTACTGATTACTGGTATGAACCTTCACTAGCACCTGTTCTTGAGTTAGCTTTGTCCACAGATTGGATTAGGGTTCCCTTCAAAACCCGCTTTTGCCACCATAGGAAGACTTCTCTTGACACAGTCCTGTGACCTTCTTAACGAGCCATCACCCCAGAATCATCAGCCACCCTAGCATTCACTTCATTTGATCATCCTGAACTTGAATAATATTTTTTGGCCAAAGCAAGTCCTCCTTTTAGGCACACAGACTTGCCAGGAGCGAGGGCCCATTTCCTACCTGCTTTGGCAGGACCACTAAGCCTGATGCCACGTGGCCACACTCGTTTGCACATGTCCTGGTGTGGCCCCTTGCCCTGGCCTTCTAGAACACTTGTCAGAGTTTGTATTCTATATATTCGTTTGTTCTTCTTGCTCAATATCCGTCTCTGGCCAACGGGAGAACCACGAGGGCAAGGAGCAGCTGCCTTGCTCACTGCTGGGTGCCCTGTCCCCCACGAGGCCCCAGGCATAGGCTGGCTCCATGAATATGTGTGGACGGAGTAAACGGATGCAGGACGAAGGGTTTCTGCCCCTCTCTCTGTGCCTGGAAGGCTGGGTTATCCTGGCCTTTGTGCCCCAAGTCTCAGGCACACAGTAGGAGCTTGGTGATGGAGGGTTTGTCCTCCAGCCGTCGTCCCGCGTCGGAGCAGAGTGGAGATGGTGCCAGCACCGATTCCAGGGACAGTCCCAGCTCCTGCTGGGTGTTCCGATTGATGCCCACCCCACGAGCTACCCTTTGCTTTGTTCTAACCCTTTCCCACTTCCTGGAATCGTGGACAGGCTCATTTCCTTGGTGTCTGACTTCCCTGTTAGAAAGTCCGTTCCACAAGGCAGGTATCTTGTCCACTTGCTCCCTGCTGAACCTCAGCACCTGGAAGGAGGGCAGTGCCGGGTGCTGAGCGAACCCCAGGGCGCTTACGCTATGCTAGGCCCTGCACTGAGCACTTCCGGTTCCTCGGTGCGCCGCTCAGAGCTCCTGGGGAAATTGCTGTCCGCCTTGTCCCCTCCTAGCCCTGTGGCCGGGCGAGCCACCCTCCTTCTCTGAGGCTCGGTTTCAGCGTCCGTGAAATGGGCATGATGACCATGCTGACCCCTCAGGGCGTAGGTGAGAGTATGGTGAGGCCCTGCAGGGAAAGCATCAATATTCTGCCCCTTCGGTGCAAGCTGGAGCGGATGGCTCATCATTCAGCCATGAGCACCAGCTTCTGCTGAGCTGGGGCGACCCCAGTGGGTGCCATGCAGACCCTCTTCCCCAGAAGAGGCCTGGTGGGGGGCAGCTGAGATGTCCCACTAGGAGCAGGGGCAGTCCTTGCGGACAGAAACATTCTGGAGCTCACGGAGAGGAGGCTTGGCAGAGACCGTGTCCCCAGGTCTGCCCTGCCCCACTGAGCCCTGCTTCCTGGGGCCTGGGCTGCCCTGTTGAGAGCCTCCCAGACAGACTTGCCCTGACAGGCCCTGCCTCTCGGGGCGGACGAGACTCACACAAAGGAGGCCGCGGAGCCCGGCCGAGGGGCCCGGCTGCATGCCTGATTTCAGACGGGGCGCTATGCGTGTCTGGACTGGTTTCAAGCCCTGCCGAGGTCCGCATCACCAGGTGCATTCCTACAGAGCTCCCCTCCTGGGCTCCTTTTTGCCCTTTCTGCTCCTTTTTCTTACACGAATCGCACACACAGCCCCCTCCCCAGCCTCCTCTGCCATTCCTTTTCACGTGCTCCTCCCGCACGCCCGGGCCCCCACCTCATTCCCAAAGCTTCCCCCGTCCCCATAGCACTCAGCCAGCCCCCAAGCCCTCGATTTTCTCAGGCCCCGAAAGAGGGGAGCGGGGAGGGGAGTGGACGGGCTTTTATTTTTCCAGCCCCCCCTCCTTCCTTTCTGGAAAGCTCCCCGTTCCCGGTACCGGTCTCGAGGGAGGGGGACAGTGTGTTTTATCTCCCCACAACCAAGACCCTCACCTCCAGATAAAGGGCTCAGAGTCGGGGGAGGTCCTGAAAAGCTGCTTGCAACTGATAACAGTCTCTGCTGTCAGCCTTCAGCGCCCAGAGCTGGGAAGGTGGAGGGGGGGAGCCGTGGTAAATTCTGCGGCCTGATTATAATAAAGCCCCATGTGGTGATGCGTGACTGGGTTTTATTGTGCTAGCTGCAGATGGAAGCACATTCTCCCCTGCCTGCCCCAGCCCCCTCCAGCCCACCTGACTTTGAAATCCTTCCCCCCGCTTGCACTCCCACCCTCTGGCCCAGCCCCGCTTGCCTTCCTTACTTCTTCCCTCTTTCTCTGGTTCCTGGTGAATTTGTTGGCAAACATCTGTTTGAGTTTCATAGTATCTCATTTTTCTTTCTCATCTTTGTCTCCCCACTCGGGCCAGGAGCAGAAGTGCTTTTAAAAATGACCTTTGGCTTTGCTGCCGTGGCACCTGGTGTCCACGTCACACCTCTCTGGACAGGGACGCGAGTGTGTGGGCTGCAGCAGGGCCTGGCCTGGCCACTCAGGGAGCAGAAGCCCTTCCCAGGGGTGTGGCTGGCAGGGACACGGTCCCCCAGACTCTGAGGTGTGGCCCACTCTGCCAGTGAGTGGCATTACCGGGACTCTGACCCAGATCACCCCTTCCTAAGGCCTGTGTGCTTTTCACAGCTCTGTGCTGCTCCTGGCTGGTCTGTGGGCCCCTTTTCGATTTTTCCAGGCCCCTCATTTTCAGCAGATCTCAAGACCAGCCGCCTTGTCTTTTTCATTCTCCCAGCATCCCAGGGGCAGTTACAGGTGCGGGCAGGTGGTTGCTGGGGACACACAGGTTTAGAGAAACCACAGACATCTCTGTGCTGTTGGAGGATGGCCAGGCCACATTTAATCATGTCTTTTATTTCAAGCTGGATATCGCTCCCAGATGTTGGGGGTCAGGGCTGTTGGCCGACTGATGAGCAGTTGGAGGCGCTGGTGGGCCAGGCCAGCCGCACACCTGGGGCGGATATAGGTCCTGGCCACCCTCACAGTCCCCTTGTTGTTCCCGGGCAGGGGCCAAGGGCAGCTCACTCACCATGGAAAAGATCAGTCTTCTGTTCCTGGGGTGCCGACCCTGACCTTTAGCTCAGCTCTCGCTAAACCCAAACATCCTGTCCCTAGGGCAGGTGCCTCTAACCTTTCACACAGCTCTTCGAAGCCAGGCAGGGAAGCAGGATGGAGCTGGGCTCCCCTGAGCTGCTGCCCCGGGGAGGCTTGGAACCCCTGGGACACCAGGAACCGGCTGAATTCTGGGCCCTTGGGAGGGCTGGTGGTCTTTGCTGGCGGTCTGTGCACAGGCTGGGTGTGGGCAGCAGTACACAAAGGCCGATGAGCTGGTTGGTGTGTTGGTTGACCACTGCCTAGAACAGATGCCTCAGGCCATTGAGTTAGTTGCCAAGATTTAAAAACCACGGGTTTTTCTGTCAAAAGATGGATTTTCAGCTTCTTTTGGAAGACCACGTGGGACCACCCTGAGTTGACCTCCCATGGCAGCAGTTGGCTGGTATCAAGCAGGGGCTGCCCCCTTAAGCTAACCACAAGCCTTCTTGGTCACCATCATCCCCACCTCTGTCTTTTTCAAAAGAATTTCTTTGGTCTTCCACGAACCTCTCTCCCAACCTGAAGATCCCTCAGATTTAGGGTTCAGAGGCAGCAGCAACCTCCAGCATTGGTCACGGGCTGCCCACTTTTTGTGATGTGGCTCCCGTGGTCATTAATGAGACAGTCCACCTGAGGCATCGAGCCCAGTGCCTGGAGCGTGGGGCCGGGGTGGGGAGCTGTCTAATCAGCCGTCCTTCCCCCTCTGCTTTCATCTCCGGGATGGCAAATGCAAGGAGAGCCAGTGGGGTGGAAATGTCATTCCCAGCTGAAGGTCATGGTTTTCAGCTCGATTGAAGCTCTCATTCAGACCCCGAAGTCTTAGCTACTTTGCATAGCTTCGCCTCCCCATCATTAGCAATACTTTGTCCACCCTGCTTTGCTTTGAGCGTTGAGTACAAATAGCCACACCACGGAGTCCCTGGTTGGGTAAATTGTGTTAGTGTCTTGGGTGGGGGAGGAGCCTTTGTGTTGATTTCTTCTTTTTTGTCCTGGAGTGAGGGTCTGGGTTCTGGGTTCACCTCCGGGGGAGCAGGAGGGGCCAAGGCTGTCTGTTCAACTGATGTGAGGCAGACAACATTATCACGGCCGCCCGTGGCCATCGGGGCTTGAAAGGGTTGTTTTATGACAAATCGGTTGAAGCTTAATTAGGCCTCGCAAGCATTCAGCTTGCCTCACGAGGGGCAGGGGAGGCAGACATGAGGCAGTGTGGGTACTTGGCGTGAGAGTGGGGGGGGCGGATTTGAACCCCAAGAAGCTTGAAGCGTTTGAGTGCAGGTGTGGGGGAGGAGAGGGCTGTATCTGTCATCCGGGAGCCAGTGCCTGGGGCCTGTGCCAGACAGGGCAGGCCAGGTTTGGATCTGTGTGGAGGGACGGGCCCCCTGCTCAGAACCACACAGGTGTGAGGGTGCTGTCTCATGACCGCTTTAAAGAACCTCCGAGATGGGCTTCGATTTCCGCAGGGTGTGGGAGGAACATCAGAAGCTTGTCTGCGGAGGTGGGATGTGACCCCGGGCCCTGACCATGTGACATGGGGAAATCGGGGAGGTTGAACTGTGCACATTTCCTCATAGCAGGACTTCTAAGAGGTCATGGTGCTAATCTCCTTCTTCTGAGCCTTCTGTCACCCCCAGGTGATGTCCACACGCATCACCACGGCCGACCCTGACCCTCAGCCTGCTGATGCACGGCCTCCTATTTGCTCTTCCCCCTTCCTGAAATGCTGTTCCTTCCGAGTAGGTGGGACAAGAGGGCTGGGGTCACAGAAACAACAGCCCTCTGTAACCCTGTTCTCCAGAAGCACCCAGGAGCACATTCTGTACCCCCTTCCAGCTTCGCTCCCTGCGTGTCTCTCAGGAACTGTGTGTAGGGAATATGATTGGCCTTATGCTGTTTATTGGTTCAGATCTTAATTTTTCTCGTAACTTTTATATCATAAGCATCATTCTTTGTCCTCACACATCCTTTTGGAAATATTTTTAATGAACACCTATCATCCCAACCTTTGGTGGCACTGTAACATTCCTAGTGTCCTACTTACGAGTATTTAGTGGTTTGTTTGTTTTCAATTTTTGTCATGTGCAACTCTGAATTTATGTTGTCAGGCATAGATAAGGCACACTCTTACGTGTGTGGCTCTCCAAAGTTATGTATATTGGGATTCTAATTGAACATAACATCCCTGAGGTTCATGAGGTATTTAGAGGGTTCTAAGTTTTGCTGCCATTCTGTAATTTTTCAAAAGTTTTGAGTCGCATTTTAGTTTGAAAGTTCGCTCTGTATCGCTTTTGTGGTAAAGTAACCTGTTACTTAAGTCTGTGGTTCAGTAAAACAGTTCACACAGTAATTTATATCAAGGTTCACGTTGGTGTGGGTTAGTCCAAGGCTCAGACTTCTGGTCTGGGTTTCATATTCCTTTAAAAGAGAGGCCAGAGGCAGGACAGCCTCACCCCCCTCCCTGGTCTCCACCCCCCAGACTCCCCCAAAGAGTGGCTAGAACCCCGCGTCAGCTGGGAATCCGTGCCCCTTCCCGACGCCGCCCGCACAGAGGCGGAACCCCTCTGGTCTAGCAGGTTCTGTTCTATAGGCCCTGGAGTTCAGACCTTTTGTGGATTTGCCATCTAATGGATTTGTGTTTGGGGGGGGGACGCAGTGCCAGACAACGAGACTCCAGGAGGTGAAAAGCCAGCAGAGGGAGGAGCTGCGGACTGTCCAGAGGAGGAGGAGGAGGAGGAGAGCCTCCCCGGGTGTACTCTGTTTATTAAAAACCTCAACTTCAGCACGACGGAGGAGACCCTGAAGGGAGTGAGTGATGGTTGAGAATGGGGAAGGGGATCGTGGGGCGGGGAAGCCCATCTGCTGACGCGCTGCCTGGTTTATTTGGCCTGTAAATCTGGTTCGCGCTGATATGGGGCTTCACAGCCAGCCACCGGCCCCTCCACGTCCCTGCCGGGCTGTCCTGTAGGTACCTCCCCCAGGGACTTGAGTCATGGGCAGACCCGCCTGGGGGCTGGGAGGGGCACCCACAGACATGGAAGGGGATGTGTCAGGGCAGCTAGGGAGGCGTGTGCAGTGTGAAAGCTGTCGTCTGTGTGTGTTAATGTTGCCCATTCAGAAAACAAAGCCACCCCCCACCTCTGCACCCTGCCAATTGTTTCTGTGGTGTTAACTACCCAAAAGCAAATGTTAGCACCACCTCCTGGCCTGATGGGAGCAGGTAGAAGACCCAGGAATGAGTGCGGGGCAGCCCTGCCTGAAATCCCTGGACGGGATGTGGGTTTTGCATTCTTGGGGGGTGGGGTGGAGGATACAAAGATGGGCATCTCCAAGTAGGTGTTTGGGAAATGTCAAGTGGGTCCTACCCCGAGTGGGGTTGGGGGCCTTGTGAAGGAATTGGCCAGAGATAGGGAAATGGAGCCTCCGGTTCCAAAGGATTATTAGGGGCTGCAAGCTCCCCTGCTGGGCTGAGACCTGCTATGGGGAGACTCCTCATTTCTATGAACTGGGTTTGACACGCTTTTTTTTTAATGCATAAATCAATGATTATTAGCAGGCCGACAGCCATGGATTGGTTCTGAAAAAAAAACAAGATGGCCATAAGGATTGAACTCACTGACTTCTAAAAACTCTTTTGAGTTCCAAAATCCCACAAATGGACTCAAGAGGAGGGACGGGGTCCACTGAGTCCCAGAGGCAGATGGTGGTGGGTGGGTGGAAGGGAGGCCAGCCTGCATCCGGAGGGAGAGATTGAGGTGTCTGCTCTTTGGGGAGGCAAGAGGTCAGAGCATGCACTGTGAGGCCATCTGGCTAAGTCTATGATGTGCCTGTCCTCTTGCCGGTTGGGAGAGTGGCCATGGCAGAGGGGCATGTCGGCCAAAGCAGCAGCATCTTCAGGGCAGAGTTTCACCGTATGGAGTAACTGGAAACCCACCCTGGGACTTCTCGTTGGCTGCTTCCTGAATCCATTTTGGTTCGGGTTGGGTTTGCTTTTGTAAAGAGGCAGGCCCCCAGTAGTGCCGGATTGCTTCAAAGAGCTGAAGGCAGCGCATAGTGTGTGTTCATTCCTGCTGTGCCGGCTCTCCCGGGTCTGATACGGGAACATCATCAGGAACCGTTGCTTCCTGGAAGATGCACCCAAGCTTCAGACTCGGGAGCTGGGAGTCACCACTGGGGTGATGTCCAGGTTCCACACGCATAGCTGTGAGGCCTGAGCTTCAGGGGGTCAGGTCACTGTCCCAGGGCCACAAGCCCCTTGGAGGCTCTGCAGGGAACGGCGTCCAGCCCTCGTGTTGCCCCAAGTTAGGGGTCAGACTGCCTGGACTTGGATCCCGGCCTCACTCTTGGCTAATAGTGCAACCCTGGGTGAGTCCTTTATCCTGTCCATGCCACAGTCTCCTCATCTGTACAGTGGGGATGTTAGGAGAATCTTCCTGTGGAGTGGTTTTTTTTAAGATTTTATTTATTTATTTGAGAGAGTGAGTGAGAGAGAGAGAAGCAGGGGGAGGGGCAGAGGGAGAGGGGGAAGCAGACTCCCCACTAAGCAAGGAGCCCAACGTGGGGCTTGATCCAGGGACTCCGGGATCATGACCTTAGCTGAAGGCAGATGCTTAACTGACTGAGCCACCCAGGCACCTCTGTTGGAGTGGTTTTAAAGATCTGATTAGGACAAATGAGACTTGGATTAAGAGGGTCCATAAGTGTCCGCACCTTATGCATGATCTGGGTACTAGCTCTGCTGTTAGTCCTGCCCTCTTGGGGCCCATGGCCGTGTACATAGCCTCTGTCTTTTGAGATGTGCCTGCACTAGTTGCAGGATTAGCCTGAAAATAGTGCTGATACACCTTGACATTCCTTTCCAGGTGTTTTCCAAAGTGGGGACAGTGAAGAGCTGCTCTATTTCCAAGAAGAAGAACAAAGCAGGTATTCCCTACAAAACCACCGTCAGAAAGGATGATTCCAGAAGAACCTGTGGCTTTGGGGGGGTGGCGAGGGTAACTCTCGCTTGCTCATTTGGTAGGTCCTCACATTCTCACATGGCCCACCTAAAACAGTCCCTCTTTGTCCCCGGAGACTCCCAGTGTTCCGTGGATGCAGCCGTGCACATCAGGGTCTTCTGAATTCAGACTCTTTGCCTTGGGCCTTGGACTGTCCCCTGGTCTCAGTGCATTTGATGGTCCACCGGTGTTGACACTGTACTGTAGCAGAAGCCTCTCCCTCCTCCCAGCACCTCTGGGCTCTGGAAATGTCCTAAAGAAGAGCAGGGAGAGACTGATCTTGGGCCTTCCCACTTCCCTTCCAAGAGAAGCAACCCAGACGTAGAACCTCTGGAACAATCCACTGAGCCATTCTCTGGGAGCTACAGAGCTGGTTTGGGACATAAGAAAGGCAGCTAAGTACCAAGTGAGCAATATGAAGGCTCAGTTGCAGGGGCTTCAGGAAAGGAGGTGACCCCTGACGTCCAGGCGGCGAGTCAGGCTGGTAGAGGGGCCACCAGCTCTGCCTGGGGCTGCCCCTGTGGGTTGTAGGGTCACTGCATCCCTCTCCGCCATCAGATGCTGTGGAGCCTACCTTTCAGCCCTCAGGAGCACCTCTCAGCGTACTTTAGAAAGAGTTACCTGATCTTTCAGTGCTTTCCAATATCTGCTGAAGAAACCAGTGTTCACGGTTGTCACAGGGTGGTGCCACCTGGCAGCCAGTAGATCTGTCTGAGGCTCCCTTCTGTGTCCCACAGAGCCACATGTGGATAATTTCGAGGAGTTTCTTACAGTGTCGGGGCCTCATTTGATAGCATGGAGTTGTGAATGGAAACGCAAGCAAGCGGTCCACGCAGTAGGGGCTCGGGTCTCATGAACAATACAGTAGAGGCGAAGATGGGACCAGTGAGCAAGTTGAAGGTGGTGAATCTCGATCCTCATTTGGACCCATCACACTTGAGCGAGCCCTCTGAGTTCAACTGAAAAAGCGAAAGAATAAAATTAATACATCTGCATAACATGCAGGGGATGGGGAGAAGGAGGCACACGTCACATTCTGTGCCATAGGGCAAGGTGTAATTAGACAAATGCCCCATAAAATACCGGCTGCCCCTCCCCCGATTATATATATGTATGTAAAGCACATAGATCGCAAGTCGGGAAGCAAGTGTTTCCGATAAACTTTTGTGATCTCCCTTGTTCTCTGAACCGTTGCTACTCACTCACTGCCTTAGAAGTAGGGGACCAGAGAGGTTTGCATAATGCAGCCGCCCTCCCCGTCTGAACTTGGTATCTGAAACCCAGGAGCAGCTGTAATCGGATGGTCAGAAATACCTGTAAAGGGGAGGGGGGTGGGGGGATGGGTTAGCCGGGTAATGGATATTAAGGAGGGCACGTACTGCATGGAGCACTGGGTGTTCTACGAAAACAATGAATCATGGAACACTACATCAAAAGCTAATGATATATGGTGACTAACATTAACATAATAAGATAAAAAAAAAAAGAAATACCTGTAAAGGGGAAGTCTTTGGTGCCTTTTGCTTTTCACGCACGTATTCATCTTTTGCGTTGTATGTGCAAGCAGGGGGACGGCCTAGGTAGATGTTGAGCTGCTTGTCATAGTGATGGTCATCCCTGTTCGTTCCTTCTCCCTCCCAAAGGCGGAATTCTATTACGAAGTTAATTATCATGTCAGTCATCTGTTAATTAATAGTCAACTGGGCCTCAGGTGACGGCTATATAACTTTGTTGGCTGGTTCTTCAAGATGACTGGTAATACATGGCGAGCCAGGAGCAGAAATCTTTTTGGGAACGAAGGAGGGGGATGAGGAAGAGAGAAAAGAGTAGACGTCCAGGGGCCCCCTGGAGCCCTTGCATTTGGGCTCGTGCTTTCTTCGCTTTCTTGCCCACCCACCTCACCCCTGGGATTTCTGCCTCTCTCCTTCAGGAGTGATGCTCTCCATGGGATTTGGATTCGTGGAATACAGGAAGCCAGAGCAAGCCAAGAAGGCTCTCAAGCAGCTCCAGGTAAGGTGGGGATTTCAGCCGAGGTCCTCGGAGGTACTTGGTAGGTAGTGGGGGTGGGGAGAGGGGTTCCCACCTGTCAGCGCTCCTGAAATTGAGCGGGAATGTGGATAAGTCCACATTTTTCTGGGCCCCTCGCTTCCTCCAGTTCTCTAGGGGGGAGAGAACTGTGGCCCAAGAAAAATGAAGACCCCCCTCCTCAGCACGCTGTCGTCACTGTAGTGTGTTCATTAATCCACAGCTCTGTGCCAGGTCTGGGGGAGTTGGCAGAGCAGACCTCTGAGTAAATACACAGAACCAGGTCACGAGTGCTTGGATGGAAATGAAGCAGGCACTCTGATGGGCAGGGAGGTCTACTTTATGATGTGTGGTCAGGGGAGGCCTCTCTTGAGGTGACTGACAGTTGAGCTAATACCTAATGACAAGAAGGAGTCAACTACATAAAGATCTGGGGGGAAAGCAGTCTGGGGGGGAACAGCATGTGCAAAGGGCCTGAGGCAGGGACTCTAAGGTAGGAGTGAGCTTAGTCTGTTTGAGAGATACAAAGAGGCCAGTGTGGCAGAGGAGGTGTGAGGTGGGTGGTGCCTGGACCTGGATCTTGCAGGCCTTTTAACGACTTTGGAATTCAGTTGTAAGGCAGTGAGATTCAATCAGAGGGCTTCGAGCACACCAGGGAAGGGACTCTTATGCTTCCAGACAGCCTCTCCAGCTGCTGTGCAGAGAGAGTGGATCATAGGGGAGCAGATGGGAGACCATTGAGTCATCCAGGCGGGAAAGGGTGTTGGCCTGGACGGGGGTGGAGGCAGTGGGGACAAGGGAGCTGAACTCCCAAGGTGTTTGGACAGAGACCTCGCTTCCTTTTCAGAGAAAAGAGTAACAGTGCCTTCCTGCTGGGTCCGACGTGCAGAGTCAGACCAGGGCCCTCAGGAGCAGGAGGGGAGCTGAACTGGGGCCCCAGGGAGCAGGACAGTCTGGGATTTGTGCCTCCTCAAAATGAGACAGGCCTCTGCTCGGAACAGTGTCCTCAACATTCTTCCCTGATGCCCCCCATCCCCAAGGCCTTTGGTGGCAGGGGACAAGGAGCGGTGCCCCCCCCCACACACACACCTCTTTCTTTCTGCAAGACCTCCTTGCTCCCACTGTCCCTTGCCTTTCCCTTGTTCTGCAGCCAGAGCGCTCATGATCGTGCCTCTAGATCAGGCTTCTAGACCCAAGTCCATAGAAGGGCTTCAGGGGGTCCCGGGACCCTTTTAAGCCATTTTCAGAATGTCACGTGACCGTGTGCACCGTACAAAGGAGGACATGGCCTGCCTGGCATGAAGCTAGGCAGTGGGAAGATAAAATAGAGTTGAATCCAGCCCAGTTTACAAGCCAGGGCGTGGCCAGCGGCACACCATTCCCTGGCTCTTATTCTCCCCCTGAGAGGTGCACCTGGGCCAGACCCAGCTAGGCGGTTCTGTGTGGAAAGGACACGCATACAGGGCCCCCTCCCAGTCCCAGCAGAGCTTCCCATGCAGGGGAAAGGCCCCAGGGCTATCAGAAATGCAGCAGGGCACTTAGCCACCGATACGATTGTTTTTGTAGAATTTTGATGACCTTGGCTAGAGGCCACTTCACGAAGGGCTGAGTTGGTTTTGGGTAGGATGTTGGGGAGGTGAGCCCTCTGGGGCCTCTGCTCTCTTTGAAAGGCTCTCTTGCTCTCCACCAGGGCTCGCAGACTCAGATGCCCACAGGGGCTGGGGACTGGGCGGGGGGGTGGAGGCGGGGGGGCGGGGGGGCGCGGGTGGTGGCCGGGCCCCATCCCCATCCAAAGGGGCAGGCACTTCTTGGCTTCAGCCGGTTACTGCCTCGTGGGGAGGCGGGTCGCAACCATACCAGATCTCTGGGCTTTGATTTGTTTGTTGTTTTTTTAAAAAGACACCGGAAGTCCAGCTTTGTTACCAGATGCCATGTGGGCCCATCACTGGGCTTGAGCTCTGCACATTCAGTGCTCCGTTCTCTGCCACATAATGCAAGATTCTATAAAACCACCCCGCACTGGTCCAGCGTTACCTCCCCATGTGCACACATATGTGCACATTGCCACAAAGAATTGTTTACACGAAACTACGCGTGGTATATTTTATAGGAGATTTAAGGGCTTTTCGAGGGTAATTTTGTTAATACGCCAGTTTTGCCTTAAGGGACCCACGTGAGAACCTAGCTTTCCTTGCAACTCCTCTGTGGTTTAGAAATTATTTTTTTAAGCATGCAGTCTAACCTGAACTCCCGCTCTGCAAGCCAGACTGAAGGGGCTTCCTTTGCCTGCAGATGCTTATAAATGATGGAAAATTCTGTGTCCCTCCAGTGGCATAAAGGTCAAGGCCCACGCATGGCTCGAGAGGACATTGGAAGGCTGGGTCTCTGTGACCACCAGCTGCTGCCTGGGCTCAGCATGAGCCATTTCCAGGAGAAGCTGTTCTCTGTCCTTGATTCCAGCTGGCCCCTCTGCCTGGAAACGTCCTCCCTCTGAAATTTCCTTTCCCCTCTGCGGAAGCCCTCTCTGGTGAAGGGCAGGGGTGCGGGTGAGTATTTTTGGGAGGACAGAGTGACAAGCTGTGTTGTCTTCTCTGTTAGGGTCACGTCGTGGACAGCCACAAGCTGGAAGTGAGGATCTCCGAACGAGCCACCAAGTGAGTCTTCAGTGCCCCGTCTTTGCTTTGAAGGGCAGTCCCTTCTGCTCTGGTGCTGGTTCCCCAGCCCCTTGATATGACCCCCCACCCAAACCCCTCACCATCTGGGACTCTTCCTAATGAAGCTGGTGTCCCATTTGCCAACTCTGAGGCCCATTTCTGTGAGGAACTGGGACCGCTCCAGTCCTTTGAGTAAATGCTTTATGCACATTTATTATCATCGAAGGAGCAAGAGTGGGAAAAACAAGCACGTCCTGCTCATCTTGGTGGTTTAAATAACCAAACAAAGAGTTGCAAGCCCAAAGTTGGGGCTTTGGGCGAATGAAAGAAGCAATAAAAACTTAGACATCCGCCTTTATAGGGCTTTCTTTCTCAAAGCTGGACAACAGAGCCCAGAGACAGCCTCCAGTTCGAAAGAGATTCAGTAGGCGTTAGACATGGAGACAGACCTCTCTGCCCAGTGACCAGTTTCCTGAAGTGGTAGGGTTTTCTCTAAGAGTTTAGTTTTGTTCCTACCCTTCTACCCGCTCATACGTCTAAATGAGCTGATACCCCTGGGGTGCTTTGAACAGTGAGTGCCTGGCATACAACGTGCCCAGTGTAAGGCTTTATTGTCATCGTCATGATCATCTACCTGCCTCAGGTGATGAAGTGACTGCCTCTAACAGTCCTAGGGCTGGTTTAAGATATTTATTTGGTAGTTGTCAGCAAGTTGGTCATTTGTTGTGGTCTTTGAGCAGATGAGCTGCCAGTGGCCCGCCAGTGGCCGCTGCTTTTCCTTCCTTCTCTCACTGTTTTCAAACTACTCGTGAATCTAGCCCCAGGCTACCTCTGGTATTGCTTGCCCATCCTGGTCTGTGCCGTGTGAGCATCATTCGAGTGAAGGCAGCTTGGTACGGACGGGTTCCTGAGCTATGATGGAACAGTGGGATTCCAGGCATTGGGCCCCACAGCTTTGGGTTCTAGTCCCAGAGCTGCGTGACCTTGGGTGGCTGACTTGGCCTGTGAAGTAAAATGTGCCCACTGGAGATTGTGTGTGAAGCGCCTGGCACATGCTGTGCCCATGAGCACTCAGCTGGCGGTGGCGATCTTTCTTTTCCATACCCTATCTACAGGGTGTCAAGCTAAAGTCACCTTGCAAGCTTTCAGTGCCCAGCCACTGTTGATTGAGTCGTCCTTTTGTTCAACAAAAAATCAGAGAGAGCCCACTGTGTTCCAGATACTCTGCCCAGTTCCCAGGAATGGAGTTTCCTTGTGGTGCTCACATTCTGGGGCAGTGTATTTGGTAGAACCTTCTACAGTGGTGGGATTCTTCTCTAATGTTCTACATCTGTGCTGTCCAATATGGCAGCCACTTGCTACATGTGGCATTTGAACACTTGAAATGGGGGGGAGTGCAGTGTATTATCTATTGGCTGCATAACAGAGTATCCCAAACCCAGCTTAAAACAGCAAACATTTATTATCCCGTGGTCTCTGTGGGTCCGGAACTTGGGAGCAGCTTAGCAGGGTACTTCTGTCTCTGGGTCTCTAGAGGTTACCATGATGATGCTGGCTAGGGCTGCAGTCTCATCTGAAGGCTCCCCAGGGACTAAAGGATCCACTTCCAAGATGGCGCCCTTACAGGGCTGTTGGCAGAAGGCCTCAGTTCCTCACCACATTGGCCTCTCCCTAGATTGCATGAGGGTCTTTCATGTCTGCCTCATCCACAGCAGCTCCTTGAATCCCTCACCTTCACAGAAGACCAGAGCGTCGGCTCTCGGAGGGAGGGCAGAGGAGTCCATGGAGGGCAGCAGCTGCCTACACCCTGAATAACCTGAACCCTTTCCCCCGACCGTCCAGGCCAGCTCTGACATCCACTCGGAAGAAACAAGTTCCCAGAAAGCAGACAACGTCAAAGATTCTGGTGCGCAACATCCCGTTCCAGGCTGACAGCCGGGAGATCCGTGAGCTCTTCAGGTGAGAGGCGTTGGTTTGGTCCAAGGGGCAGCGTGTGGGTGGGGAGCCTGCCAGAGCCTTGGAGAAGGCGGGCTTGGGGTCCGCTGATGGCTCCGCCAGAGGCCCAGTGGTCTTTCAGAGGTCATCTTTTAGCTGCCTTTGATTTATCTCCCTTGAACTCACACACTGCTTTCCAGAGCAGTGGGCAGAAAAATCTCAAAAGCAGCCAGGCCTCCTCCTCCTCCAGAGGTGAGACAAAAAGAAAGGGAAGCTAATCTCCATCCCCACCCACAGCAGGATGGGGCGGGAGCCCACGTGGCTGAAGCTCAGCTCTACCCACCATCTGCCTGAAATTCTTCCACCCAAGGCATTCCTCTGGTCTAAGCCAATGGTTCTTCTCCTTCTTGGTATTTTCGAGTCACTTGGTGACTTTTATAAACATACCTTTGCTCGGTCCTCACCCCCAGGGAGCTGGATTTTGTTGGTCAGGGGCGGGGCCCAGACATTGATATTTTGATCAGAGCTCCTCAGGGGGGTTCGGGTTCTACTGACCAGCTGGAGTTGGGCACTGCTGTCTACGTTGCTACTTACGGAGAAGCCATTTCGAAATAAGGGTGAATCACCTGCATAGATCATGCCGTCCATCAGCAGATGCTAGCACGGGGTCAAAAATTCCAGGTTCTGGGACCTGGAAGAGCAGGCTGGGGTGCAGGGGGCACAGCTGGAAGGCCAGTTGTGAGGCCGTGCAGAAAGGCAGGTGTAATGAGACCAGTTTTCCCACATTTCAAAAGAGAAACCAGCAATTGGATTTTTGGGGGGGAATAAGTTGGCAACTAATTTACTTTCTGAAAATAAACATGGTATAGGACAAAGTCTCTGCCTGTGGCCAGATATAGCCCAAGAGCCACCACTTTGCAACCCCTGCGCTGATACATTACACTGTTGAGCTTTTGAGGTGAATGAGGTCCTGCCCAGAACCAAGCCCTGGATCAAACGTCTCTATGGAGGACATCGCAGGAAGATGTTTAAAGCCCAGGCCCTCCCCAGGCGAGCGCTGGGTGGTGCAGAGAGAGACCATCTAGCCCTCAGAATGTAACGGCAGATGGAATTAGCCCCAACCGAACAGATCATTGTGGGGCGCCCCCAGAACGTACAGCACCCTGGCCCGCGGGATCGGGAGAGCTAGGTCCCCGTTAGAATTATCACTTAGCATCTTACTCATTAGGTCAACTTACCGATGTCAACTGTGGATGCAAAATGCAAATCCTGTATTTTGGGGACCAGAAAGAAGTATCTTTGTATGCAATCTGCCTTTCTGCACTCATTTGGTTTAAAGGGTAGGGAGCCATTTATGGGATTTGCTTCAAAACTCGCCATCCCTCTCGCCTCTGTGCCCCATCGTCCACTGGTGTGCAGTTCGTTAACAGGCATGGCTAGCGGGAGCTGATGCAGACGCCTTCCCTGCCGGCTTCTAGTAGCTGAGCCTTAGCTGTGATCCCGGGTCCCCTGCGTGGCAGCAGCAGCCTGGTGAGCTGGGGCCACAACCTGGGGGGGGAGAGTTTTCCATTTCCCCACACCCAGGGAGACAAGTCAAGAGGAGTACGTGAGTGAGGCGTTACAAGAGAGTCCGTATCCTCAGCCCCGCGTGCCTGCTTGTTTTCACATGCTTCTGCTTTTTAAAGAGAGTCCAATTTAAGAGCTGCCGGATCAGAACGGGATTGCTGCGAACAGCACGTGTTGATCAGGAAATAGTGTCCCGCCGAAACGACAGTTCCACTCGCTTCCACGGTGTATTTAGGATGACACTTGTCCAGGGAAACAAAAGACGCAGACAGAGAGGGAAAGCGCTTTGTTTGATCTCGTTTTATATTTATTTTGAGAAGACCGGGAATTAGTGTCCACCGAACGTAGTTACGCGTGGCATCTCTTCTCCCTGCCATTGTTGTGATGGTGGTTTCCACCAGCCCTTGGAAATGAACGGAAAGCCAGTCTTCGAGGGCTCACCTTGCTTTGTTGTGCACTCGGGCTGGGGGTGGAGGCAGTCCCGAGCGGCGGGCAGCAGGGGTCGCTGTGAGCCTTCTCAGGGGGGCTAAGCTGGTCCACGAAACCACAGACCCGATTTCCAGACAAAGCCAGTGGCCGGCAAGGGTCAGAGCCAGGGGAGGATTTCAGGACTGAGGGGAGCCAATCTGGTCCATTTCTCGTAGGCAGGTTTTGCAGGTTTGTCCTTCCAGGTGTAATCAGAATCCCAGCTCCCTCTGATGGAGCGCTTGCCGTGTGTTGGGTCCTAGCTGTGGGTCTGCCGGTGCCATGTCTTCTCCTTTAAGCTGCGCGGCCATGCTGCGGTGGAGGGATGCTATTCCCCGTTTTGCACCCGGAAGGATGCTGGAGACCCGGGCACCGGAAGCATCCTGCCCGGGACCCACAGCTGAGCCAGGGTTGGGAATTCAGTTGTCTGCCCCAGAGCTGTGGCTTGGAACCACTCCTCTCTGCAGCCTGCTCTCCTTCTCCCAGGTCTGGAAGGACACTGCCCCCGAGATCATGTCAGCGGAACCACTATCCCGTGAACGTATGGTTCGTACCGGCCATTGTGCTAGATGTCGGGCATACAGCCGTTTCAGGAGAGATGGGCTCCTCCCCCAAGGGCTTCACTGTCTGTGGGGGACCAGGGAGCAAAGCGACAGTGACATTCAGACAGTGACACTCTCATGGTGTGCAAGAGTGAGTGTAGGGCCGTGGGAAAGCATGGTCAGGTCCTCAAGAGCACCCGCCAGGAGGTGGCAGCTCGCCCACCCTCCCCAGCATCCTGGGGCCCTGCCCGTGGACTGGGGCGGCAGCTTCCCAGCCAAGGTGGCGTTTGCCTGCGCCTTCCCTGGAGGCCAGCAGCCTTGCAGTCGGGCCTGCCCGCACCACACCGCAGCCCCTTGAGCCCAGCCGCGACGGGGCCTGAGAGGCGCTGCGGATCCACGTCCCTGCAGGGTTGTCGTGGGGGGCAATTCGAGCCCCGCCCTTTAGAAAAGTCAGACTAGACACGGCAGTGGATTGGGAGGCGGCACTTCTCTGCCACCTCCCTTCTGGGCCTCAGTTTCCCCCGGCACAAAATAACAGTAGTAACACTACTGCCGGCATACGCTTGTAACGTATGATGAGGATGCAGTAAAACGTTAAGTGTTTATCATCAAGTAAAGTCTTCCAGCCCATCCTGTGCCAGGCGCTGCTTTGCGTTAGTACAGGTCTGTTTCCCACAACAGCCCTGTGGAGGAGGGTTGCCTCCCTTTCCCAGGGAGAAAATCCCGCTCCCCAGCCCAGATTCCCACCCCTGGGCCAGCCACCGGCTCGCCCGGAGTCGAGCTCCCACGCCATGTGACTGCTTCGGGTGATTTTGCATGTGGAGCACTTAATACAGGGCCTGGTGTGGGGTAGGTAGTTGATAAACACTAGCTATGATTCTCGAACAGCACAAAACAGGTGGCACCAGGCTTGGAACCAGGGCAGGGCTGACTCGACAGCCTAGCTGACAGCAGTGCAGAGCCTCGACAGTCCTCTGGGGCATTTTCACAGTGTTTCTCCTCCTTCTCTAAGTATGTCCCTCCTGCCCTGTGATTGTCTCCCCCTCGTGCTAGTTCTGGGCTGGAGAGGGTCAGTATTGGGGGACACAGTCCTCTCCACCCCAAAAAGGAAACACAGAAGACAAATGGGGATTCTCTGGAGTGTGCAAGTGTGTGCATGCATGCAGGGAGCAGACTCCTCACCCCACAGCCAGAGCAGGGGTGGAAATGGCCCCCCGGCTCACCCTGCTGTGTGCACGGTCTTAAGCCAGTATCCATTCCAGAAGAAGGGGGGACCAGCTTCCCCTCCTATCTGGATTTGCTCTGGGGAAAGTGGGCGTGTGTGTGGACCTCTGCATCTGGGGGATGCTTTGCCCACCTCCACTGGAAAGCCTGGATTTGAAGGTCCCTGGGACAGAGGGTGGTGTAGAGAACAGCCTACAGATGGGGCCTAAATCTGTACCCCACCTGAAGCTTGTGCATTCAGACACCCCCCTCCACCCAATCCTTATGCACAAGTGTGAGTGCAGAGCCAAGGCATTTGATGGACAGGTCTTGTTCCCACCCAGGTCTCAAGGGCTGGCCCCGAGATGGCACAGACGCCTTGGGAACGGGATGGCTAATGCTCTCGGCACTCAGGCGGTGTTAGGCAGCAGGCTCACCACATCCCACATGTGAGAGCTGCTTGCCCACCTCCTAGAGGAGGAACCTGGGGCCCCGAGAGGTACAGGGCTGTTCCTAGAAGGACCCTTGGCTTTGCCTGTTTCTCTTGTACCCCATGGGCAGCCTTGGTTTGGGCTGCTCAGTTCCTGAAAGGCAGTGATCCTCCAGGAAGGAGGTTCTGCCAACAGGGCTGGCTTTGTGAGCGTGTGACCGTGTGGCCCCCTGAGGCCCCATGCTTGCTTCAGTGCTCTGTTGTCACCGTCCTGAAATTCTTACTGTTTGGACGAGAGGCCCTAAGTTTTCGTTTCACACTGGACCCTGCAAATGACGTAGCCAGTCCTGCCTGCAAGCCCCTGGAACGGTGCCTGGCACACAGGAAGACGGTTCGTGCCCACTGGAATTAGCGATTTTAAAATAGTCCTTCAGCTCACCCCCAGCCAACATGGCTTGGCCTGTCCTAGTCTCTCAATACTCCCAGCCCACCTTACAGCCACCCTTGGAGAGCTGTCCCTGTGGTAGTTTAGTGTCCCTTACCCACCCACCCCCACCCACCCCCAGACTATAATCTCCGACAGTTAGGTTGCTGCTCTGTCCACAGGTCCCTGGTACACAGAGGGTGTTCAATAAATGTTTGCTAAGCACATAGATACACCCTGCACCCTTGCTTATGGAATCCTAATAAAAACAGGAGGTGTGAGGCACAGAGAGGCTAGGGAGTTTGCCCGGGGCCACACAGCTCTGCAGGGGCACCACCTGTTTTCTCTCACTCTGGAGACCCACCACCTCTGTGGGACTGTGCACAAGGGTCCG